AGTGTGAAAATGAAGATAAAAAAAAATATTGCTTCTTTGTCATACTGCCTACTTTTCTCTAGAAGTAAGTGCAGCCTGCCTTAGTGCCCTTTGACCTTGCAAAATATTTGTATCTTTTTAGCAAAAATCTTTAATGTATCTTGCCAAGCTTTTTTCTCTAATGTACACAACGGAGCTTTATGATGGGTTGAGCTTTCTCTCTTAAAGTGCAGCTGCATCATCAAGAAAACTCAACAGTTAATTCTTCAAGTCCTCTTTTTCGCATGGGTATTGCATCACGGTTAATTACTGTTGGGGTACTGTGACTCATTTGTATCAGTCAACTTTATCTTTGGCTGCCAAAAGACAGCATCTCTCTGGAGAAACTCTTAACAAGTGTGGCAAACATCAAATATTTGGAGTGAATGGTGTATATAAAACTGCACAGAATTAAAAAATATAGCAGCTCCTCCTACTTGCTTGAAAGTTCAGCCTTAACAACAGTGTCCTCCAATTTACCCAGCAGCGTCCTACAACTACAAAATAATCTGTTTCTCAGTCTGCATCCAAAATAGAGAACTGCCAGAAGTGTTTATACTACAAGCCAAAAAAAACCCAACCCTCCTGTTGTGCCTGCATTAGTCACGCATAAATAAAACCATCTCTTTTGAAATATAACCACAACTACATCACACCATGGCCCAGACTTCCAGTGACCTATATATAACTAAGTCCATGGTTTTGCTGCTTAGTGATTTGCATGCCAAATAATAATGGTAGATGGCTATAAAAATGAAGCATGGGTTGATAAGTGATAGAGTATCTGTCCTTTTGTTTTTGCTGTCACCACTTTTTCAATGAAAGTTTGTCTTGGTACTCTAATGTTTGATGATCATTACATCCCCCAGCAGTCTGAGTGCAGTGAAGACAATGCTAAATGTTTAATAAATTTTAAAAATTTTTATTCCTTGGCCTTTTTACAGTCTTTGTCATGAGAGGCATTTTATGTCTTTCCCTTTCATTTCCTTGTTTTCAAGATTCTATCAGCAAGGTAAGCTACCTTTATTTAAGTGCTTTACTACTTGAATTTCTCAGAAGCAGCCCCCGGACACTGGTTCTTGCAGCGTGCAATTCCTCATTTTGAGGCAGGCAGAAACTGCTCAGTGGGCTTGGTTTCTGTGAACTTGACCTCCATATGAAAGATGAGGGAGCTGCACTCTATTATATCTTACAAATATCCTTAGCTCTCTGGAAAATGTTCAATATCACAATTAATTGAGCGAATCTTGTATGCCTCTGCCTTGTGTTCTTAAATTGAAAATAGTGGCTGGTCTTATTTCAGTTGATAGTTGATCTCTTACTGGAACTGATTTACTGTTCCTGTTCTGTAGCTTCCATAGCCCCCCAGAATGGAGAATGCTAATTATATAGAGAACACCTGTACTTCTTGTCACTCTACGATGTACAATATGTGTTGGGTAGGAAAGGGAACTTGTTAACTCCTCTCTCTGATGATGCCAGCTGAGATTCAAGGGGTTCACTTGCACCATTTTTTTCAAGGTAAGTGAATTCAGCTACATGTCCCTTCAACTTTATCAAAACAAGACTTAAAATGCCTAAATTATAGCCACATGATCATATTTTCGGGACATGTTGTACTTTTTAAGGCTACAAACTCTACTGAGTGAACAGCAGGTACAAAGAAGTTATCTTGCTCCAATTAGGGAACCGTTCTGAAAGCAATCCATCCTCTGTATGTAGGTGGTTATATCTGTAAGGGAATGGGGGGACTTGCAAAGAAGTAGCTCTTTGTTCCTCTTTCTATGATGGGTTAGGCAAGTTGTTCATTTTAGAAGCCACTCCAACCAGGCCTATCTGTTTCAGGATATCAGTAGGATTCATTTCATTGCTCCACCAACCAACCTTAAAGCAACTGAGAACACTTCCTGAAGATACAGGTAGGTGCTTTAAACCAGTGTTTCTTCCTCTCTCCCCTTCCCCAAATAGGCACTGAGAAAACTCTGTCACGTGCAGTGTCTTCCAAACATCAGTGTGACCTGACAGGAAATCCAATATGGTAACCAAGCTGCTCTCAGCACCTTGTCCAAAAGCCCGACAAGGCTTTAAGAGTGGATTGAGGGGCTCTGAGAAGTGTCTGCAGCCCCTAGCAGCAGGTAGGTACAAAAAGATAACTCTTTGGCAGAGGTATCTTGGCAGAGAACATTGCCAGAGAACTACACAGTCCTGCTTGAGCCCTATTTGTACCTTCCCCCTGGGGGCGAGTATGGGCAGGGAGAATCACTCAGCTTTTGACTTGGGCAATACTTCCTTGCTTGGGGAAAATTCCCCTCCCCCGCAGTTAACAAAAAAGTAATTAAAGGCAGTGTATGCAGTTCAAAACGGCACTGATGGATGAAAGTGCAGCTGCAATATTTGTGAAGATCCAATAAAAGATTCATTAGAATCCTTTTAGTTATGGGAAGTCCTGATAACACAAAGGAGCCTAATGAAACTGAAGACCTGGTCACAAGAGTGATTAGTTTGAAAAAAAAAAAAAAAAACTAAACCCAAATCCCACCCCCACTGACACGTTCTAAAAATTAGACAATTAAGAGTAAAACCAGGAATGTAGCCAGAACTATTCCACCTCAAATAATAAACACAAGGATAAGTTGCCAAGTGAGGTCAAAGAAGCAAATGGTAAAGTGAGTTTAAGAGACAGCTAGACACTTTTATGGGGAGAGAAGGGATTGAAGGATACAGTGACAAAACTGGGGGTAGAGTTGAGATAAACTCAGTGGACGGGCACGGTGGACCAATAGCCTCAGAGAGTGCTGCTGAGCCCAAGCTCCTCAGTAGAGGAGCAGAGGAACTATTGGTGTTCGGGGGGAGACTTACCAGGGCTGTCAGCAAGGTCACGTGAGGGATGAGGGGAAGCTGTTGGATCGACTTGAAATGAAGATCAGCCTGACAGACAGAAATGTGTGTGCTATCAGATGTACTGGCTGTAACTCCTGCCCTTGGTTTCACTAGTGAGATGCTCTGGCACACTTGCTAAAAAGCAGGTTTCCAGAGAACTTGTACACAGGCAGCTTTGTCTTTGCAAGTTACCAGTACAAAGCACATAAAGAGATACCAAAAGAAAAAAAGAAGCATTTTTACTGTTTTTTCATGAAAGACTACCTGTAATATAGGACAGAACAGAGTTGGCTGGAATATGACTCAAATGGGACAAAGACAAAAAATACAAAAGTTATGTTCCACTATGCTTGTGCAAAGCTTTGCATACTTCCACATTGACATCATAGCCGTGCTGATTCCTATAAAATACATGGTGAACTTCCACAGCTTCAAATAGCAGCATAATGAAGCCCAGTTTTAAGTGCCGGTTTAGCCGCTTCTGTGGTGATGGGTGGATGTAGCTCCATCAGCACAGTCATGTTCTTACATGATGGGGGTGAGGGAACCAGGATCAGCAGGGCCACAGGAAATAATCCAGAGCATCAAATAAATAAAATACAGTTCCCTATATAGACTGCTATCCAAACAGAAATGCCACCTTCTACTGCTAAAAAAGGTTAGCTTTGAGACCTCAAGGGGCTCCGCGCAGCAAGGGTGGTCTGTAACACAGTATTTCTCCTAGAAGCCACAAGTGACATGGATCTTGTGCCAGGCACTGTAGGAACAGTGAGCAGCAGGCAGACTCTACCACGAAGAGGGTGAAAACCACAGATGAGACTTTTAAAGACAAGTGTTTAAAGGCACTGTGAATCTTGAATAAGAAAATAACTGTCCTAGGCAGGGCTTTTCTGTTCTTGATGACTAAATGCCTATCCCACAGGCATAAATATAATTTATCAGCATCACTGCTTTTTATGTGGTACAGGCTACTCATGTTCTGATGAACTCTTGCACAGCCAAGATCTCAATCTTTAAAGATTGGCTGACTGGTAATAGAAAGGCCTTACTAATATCACTGGTTGCTCATCCTGGCTTAAATGGCTAAATACTAATATAAAACCAGTTGCCCTTCCCCACCATCAAAAAAGGCCATTTGGTGCAAGGGGATTATAAAAACACACAGGTCTGAAACCTTTTAGTACAGAGGTGCAGGAGAGAAAAAGAACTGTATTTATTTTATTCTCAGGTTAAAAAAAACTCATTGCCCTGAAAAAAATCTTGCCCCCAAAGCTTCTTGGGAAATTGCACGTGCATGTGCTCTACTAGTACAATAATCATGTCTGCTTAAATATTGCTGAGGCTTTTACGTTAAATTACAGGCCTAACTGCACAGTAAAGGTACATTGTAAAGGCAAATAAAGAGGTTTTTATTCACTGTATAGTAAGTTATTCACTGTCCAGCCCAACAAAAAACTGAATTTAGACTGGGAATTTTTTTTCATTTTCAGCCACTAGATGGCTCAGCCTAGATGGTTGGCTCTGTTTGGGCAGCTACGGCCCTGGGAATGCGATGTGGCCAAGCTGCCAAGTGGCTCACACTCCTGCAGGAATTTCCTAACTTGCAACACAAAGTTACAGTGCATACAAAGGAGCCGTCAGAGTTGAAGACTAT